AAATCTGAGTCCTTTGAAAAGTTCAAGGAATTCAAGAATGAAGTACAAAACCAACTAGGTAAGAATATTAAAGTTCTTCGATCAGATCGAGGCGGTGAATATTTAAGCCTAGAATTTGATGACCATCTAAAAGAGTATGGGATTCTATCCCAACTTACTCCTCCTGGAACACCACAATGGAATGGTGTATCTGAGAGAAGAAATCGAACCTTGTTAGACATGGTCCGATCCATGATGAGTCACGTCGATCTTCCAAACTCCTTTTGGGGACATGCATTATTAACAACAGCTTACACACTTAACCGTGTTCCATCCAAAAAGGTTGATAAGACACCATATGAGATATGGAGTGGTAAGAAACCACATATGTCTTACATGAAGATTTGGGGTTGCGAAGTTTACGTCAAACGACAAATTTCAACCAAGCTTGAGCCCAAATCTGACAAATGCTTATTTGTGGGGTATCCTAAAGAAACAAGAGGATATTACTTCTACAATCCTTCTGAGGGCAAAGTGTTTGTCGCTCGAACTGGAGTCTTTTTGGAAAGGGATTTTATTTCCAAAGGAAACAGTGGGAGGAAAATAGAGCTTGAAGAAATTCAAGAATCACAAAACATTGAAACACCTATGGAGGAACTAGAGCGGGAAACACAAGTAGTTGTGGAAGACCAACCTGCTCAAGTAGAACAAGACCAGCGTAGGTCAAGCAGGATACGTCACCAACCTGAGAGATATGGATATCTCATAAGTGATCAGGGTGATGTATTACTCATGGATCAAGATGAGCCTGTGACCTACAAAGAGGCCATAACTGGTCCTGAGTCTGAGAAGTGGCTAGAAGCCATGAAATCTGAAATGGATTCCATGTACACAAACCAGGTTTGGACCTTGGTAGAACCTCCTATAGGAGTTAACCCTATAGGATGCAAGTGGGTCTTCAAGAAGAAGACTGACATGGATGGTAAGGTACATACCTATAAAGCAAGACTGGTTGCAAAAGGCTATAAACAAATTCATGGGGTTGACTATGATGAAACCTTTTCACCAGTTGCAATGCTTAAATCTGTTCGGATTTTACTTGCCATCGCTGCATATCATGATTATGAAATATGGCAGATGGATGTCAAAACTGCTTTCCTTAATGGGAATCTTCTTGAGGATGTGTACATGACACAACCTGAAGGATTTGACATACCACAAGATGCCCAAAAGATATGCAAGTTACAGCGATCAATCTATGGACTGAAGCAAGCTTCCAGAAGCTGGAATCTTCGTTTTGATGAAACCGTAAAACAATATGGATTCATCAAAAATGAAGATGAACCTTGTGTCTACAAGAAGGTTAGTGGGAGCATGATCGTGTTTCTGGTATTATATGTAGATGACATATTACTCATTGGAAACGATGTCCCTACCTTGCAACAAGTGAAGACTTGGTTAGGGAATTGTTTTTCTATGAAAGACCTAGGTGAAGCAGCCTATATATTAGGAATTAGGATCTATAGAGATAGATCACAAAAACTGCTTGGCCTAAGTCAGAGTACATACATAGATAAAGTGTTGAGACGCTTTAATATGCATGATTCCAAGAAAGGATTCATACCTATGCAACATGGTATGTGTTTATCAAAAACACAATCCCCTTCAACTAAGGAAGAAAGGGATCGCATGAATAAGATTCTATATGCATCTGCAATAGGATCTATCATGTATGCCATGTTATGTACTCGACCAGATGTCTCGTATGCATTAAGTGCAACGAGTAGGTACCAATCTGATCCCGGTGATGCTCACTGGGTAGCTGTCAAGAATATTCTTAAGTACTTGAGAAGGACTAAGGATTCATTCTTGATATATGGAGGTCAGGAAGAGCTTGATGTAATTGGTTACACTGATGCTAGCTTCCAGACAGATAAGGATGATTTTAGATCACAATCTGGTTATGTATTCTGTCTCAATGGTGGCGCTGTGAGCTGGAAAAGTTCAAAGCAAGAAACAGTTGCTGATTCTACAACTGAGGCCGAGTATATTGCTGCCTCAAATGCAGCAAAGGAAGCTGTTTGGATCAAGAAGTTCATTAGTGAACTTGGCATAGTCCCTAGCATTGTGGATCCCATTGGTTTATATTGTGATAACAATGGTGCTATCGCACAAGCTAAGGAGCCTAGATCTCACCAACGATCCAAACACATACTTAGGCGTTATCACCTCATTCGAGAGATAATCGATCGGGGAGATGTGAAGATATGCAGAGTACCTACACTTGACAATATCGCTGACCCATTAACAAAGCCTCTTGCGCAACAGAAGCATGATGGTCATACTAGATCTATGGGTATTAAGGGTATGCCTAATTGGCTCTAGTGCTAGTGGGAGATTGTTGGTGTAAGACCTAGAGGCCAATACTTTTTGGTACTTGTATCGGATTATTCGTTTAATAATAAAAGGCATTTCTTTATTATGTTTGTCTTTCAGAATAATAAAGTCCCTAGAATAGTTAGTTTGTTTAATGAAATGTTAAGTGTGACTTAATCATGAGATCCCATTAAACATAAAGACATTATTCTTAAAATATCCGTAGTCAAGCTTTATTGCAAAGTGGGATAACATTAAAAGCATTGAGACTATTATGAAGATAGACTGATGATCACATCTCATGGATCATGGATAAAGAGTTATCAAGTCTTGACATAGGTATAAATATTAGGAGTAATATTTATACCGGATTGACCCGCTATGAGAATACTACATAGTATGTTATGCAAAGTGTCATAAGTTATTCTCATGGTGATAATGGTGTATTACCACCCTTCGACCTGAAACCACTATGGACCCTAGATGTAGAGTCGGGTGCTTTATTGCTGATCAAACATTATCCGTAACTGGATGATCATAAAGACAGTTGATGGGCACTCCACGAAGCATGCTGAGGGACATGAGTGTCCTAGATGGAATTTGCCAATCCTGCATAACAGGAGAAATGTCTAAGGGCCCAATATTGAACTGGACAAGGATGACACAGTGTATGCCTTGTGTTCAATATAGACATAGGGGCAAAAGGGTAATTGTACAAACATATATTATCACGAAAAAAGTTTTGTCAGATCACATGACATTTTCGTGACTTGGGTAGCAGTGATGTGTTGCTAGATACCGCTTACTGTTTATTATGTTAAATATATAATTTAATATAATTACCAACGTTACGAAATCCTACAGGGTCACACACATAAGGACAGTTTGATGAGAGATAGAGAAATCAAAGGAACACCGTAAGGTACGGTGCACTTAAGTGAAAAATAGAAATTCGGATAATATAATAATAATTATTGTTATTTTATAATGGTTATAAAATAATAATAAAATAAATATATTTATTATAATAATAGTTATTATAATAATATATAATATTATTATGGATCATGTGAATTGAGTTTTTAGCCCGCAGCCCACAAGAGAGTCTATAAAAGGAACCCTTGTGATGAAGCTTTCACTTGATGCAATTTCGTTTTTGATTCTCTTTTCTCACTCAAATAATTCCGTTCGTAAGCAGCTAGCAATGTGACCGGAAGCTGTTCGTGTGGACTGAGTAGAGGCGTTGCACTTCATCAACGCTTGTGATCGCTGCATCAAAGATCTGAATCGCCACAAAGAGGTAACGATTCTATCACTGACCATGCTCATTCGTAAGGATCACTAAAGGAAATTTTTGTTTTCCGCTGCGTTTAGATCGCAATTTTCCTTCATCCGCTACTTAAAAGGATGCCTTGCTCGGGGATTATTTTTCTCAAGAGAGTCTCATGCACAGTTGATTAGCTTTTCAAATGCATATTGGATAGGATGTGCAGACATACGAAGATCCATCTCAAGCCAATGTTTCTTCAATGGCAAGTCTCTCATTTCATGGCACACGAAGAAACAACTCACATTGTCTCGCTCATCATCTAAGGCTGAATATCGTTCCCTCGCCGCAGCCACTTGTGAAATACAATGGTTCATATATCTCCTTCATGATCTTCATATTACTATTCCAAACCTCTAGTTTTTTTATTGTGACAATTTGAGTGCAATTCACATTGTTGCTAATTCAATTTTTTACGAACACACCAAACACTTGGAAATTGACCGTGAAAAGCTTCAAGCTCAAGTGTTCAAGCTTATTCTCGTTTCTAAAGATAACCTGACTGACTTCTTTACTTAGCCACTCCTACCACAACCTTTTCACACTCTCTTATCCAAGTTTGAAATATCCTCCAACTTGTAGGTGATATTACACCATGAACAAGTTAGAGACAACAAACTTGTTCCTCAAACTACTATTCACAACTATTAATTAGAGGTTGTTAGTTTATTATACTTGTTAGTTATGGTAGTTAAGAGATTCTATTTGTATTGTTGTACTATCATATCTATCATGCCCCATATGAGCCTTATATATATATATATATATATATATATATATATATATATATATATATATATATATATATATATATATATATATATATATATATATATATATATATATATATATATATATATATATATATATATATATATATATATCATGTAACCTCTTGACTAAACAATGAAGATTATTTTACTCATTACACATTCTATTCTATTCGTTACACATTCTATCAATTCTAAAATTAATATTTCTCATTTTATTCATCGGTTTGCTGAAGCTCTTTCATGCTTCTCAATATGTAATTGAAGCTCATAGATAGCTGTTCCCTTTGAAGGAAGATGAAATATAACTCTTGTTTGAAGTTCATGCCAAGACACACATTTTCAACTAATGGATGCAATATGCAATAGAAAGAGGGTATATGATCTGAATGAAAAGTGCATCCATTGTAACATCATGCCAATAGTTACCATATCTGACATAAGCCAAAGTATAGTATACTAAACAACCGATAGACCAATATATAAATAAAAAAATAACAAAAAAGATCAATACCACGAGCACGAATATAATTTGAATACAACAAGAATTAACCAGTTCTTATTCTGTCGAGTCGGTCAACACTCTTCCTTCCTTTCTCTAATTGATGATCAACGCTTTTTCGAGACTTCTCATGACAGTCAACACTTCTTCGAGATCTCTCTTTATGATCAAACGTCATTCGTAATTTCTCCAACATATCACCACCATTACTAGAAGACAAGTTTTTTACTTTCTCTGGTTTGTCTGTGCTCTTCCTTGGCTTTTCTCTACGGTCGGTGCTTTTTCTACTTACTTCGAAAATATCTGTACTCTTCCGAGGCTGCTCAAACTGCTGGTCTGTACTCCTTCGGAAACTGTATCGTTGCGACGGAGACTTCTCAATTGTTGTTATGAACTTCTTCAGATGCCTAATGTACTCAGGAAAGAGCTCCAAATCACAGTGGTTGCCTCCTTTGAGCCACAAGGGTTCATATTTCTCTTTACAAAGTTCCCAGAGTTGCTTGCCGTGGGAACAATCGACAACTTCATCTGAAGTACCCTACAAATGATATGAAGGATATAGTTAATAACTTCTATTTCAAGATTTTTAAGAGTTAGTGTTACGTAAACATATTTGAAGCATACTTACATGAACTATGAGAACTGGACAATTAACTAGTGGAATTTTGTCGATATTCTGCATATACAAACACAAAACAGCATCTCATTAGATTCTAATACTTTATCGATACTCTGCATGATAAACAATAACGATACCTTATATATGTCAAACCAGTATGAACGTTTTACTGGATACATGACCCTTAAGCCAGAAAGTATTGGACTGTGCAAAACAACAGCTCGTAATTGAGGCAACCGAGCCGCAATTTCCAAAGTCGGGCCACTTCCAACAGATTGTCCATAAAGGATTATATCTTCTTGCTTAGCACCATAACTTTCTTCTAGACACTTGTATACAGCCTCAATATCTGAATATGTATTCTGCTCACTAGGCTACATCTCATTCAAAACGATGTTAATTGATCAGATTTATGTATGCACGATGCAACTTGAACACGCAATTCATATTGTTATTAAAACACAAACCTTTCCCGATGACTGCCCATATCCAGAATAATCATACCTGCAACAGATTATAACTTAGAGTAAGAAAAACCACTATTTTTTCACTCCTATGCATGCTTCCATAATTTTTCATCACAAAGGGTACTCAAGTGTCAGAAACATGATAAACTTGAACAGAAGACAAATACGTAAAATTACGAACAATATACAAATCATCAATCCCAGAAAACAGCACCAATCCCATATTCATGAAATCCAACAACACAGTTTACCAAACTCCATATCTTCCAATTCATTACTTCATTTGTAAAATCAGATATACATAAAAAAACAACAACAGAATACCCAAAATTTGAGCTTATCTATTGACATAAGCACTTCTGATACTGTTGGGAAAAGCTTTCAGAAACAGCTTATTTCCAATAGCTTATGAGAAAACAACTTACAACTTAAAAGAAAATAATTTGCCTGAACTTTATCTTTTGTTCTAAAAATAGGTTATTTATAAGCACTTAACTAAGTTGATTATCCAATCAAATCACTTCACCAAAAGTTCAAACTTTCAAATCACCCACGAATCCTCCTCATATTTTACTCTAAGCAAACAAAAACCCAGAAACCATAAACCAAAAAGCAAAAAGAAGCAAAATTTACAGAAACCCAAAAAGCAAAAGAACTTGAAAAGAAAAGTTCCAAAAAAGAGAGATAAGATACCCCATGAGATTAACGCGCAAGTGGATGCTAAGCTCAATGAAAAGCTCATACATCTGACCAAGATCAGCAGCGTTTCCATGAGAGTAAAGAAGAGTAGAAGTAGCCATTGGGTGACGAACATAAACCGCCACAATCTCCGTTCCACGGCGCGTAGGAAGCTTAAGAATCTCAACGTTTTCACGGTGAGGGAAAGGAGTGATAAGAAGAAGAGAAGTGAGTTCGTCTTTGACAAGACTGTATGATGGTGGGTTTGGTGGAAAGAATGCAAATTTTGCTGCCATTGATGAAGTAACTCCACCCATGACACAAGAGAGAGAGAGTGTTTTGTGTGTGTAATTTGTATGATTATGTGTGTTTTTGAAGTGATTCAGATCTTGTTGCTGTGTGAGATTCTAGAAGATGAGGAAAAAGGGAAAGATGGTGATAGTGAAAGAGAAGTTATTTGTTTCTATGGTGGGAAGGGAAGAGAATGGAATGGATCATGCTATGTATCACTATGAATGATTATTGTGTTATGTTATTGCTTTTTTTGTGAGTCAGAGAGCTTTATTTTATTACTTTTTTTTAAATTAAATTTTTTATTATTTGCTTTACGGTTCAATTGGGCCACTCTTGCATCCTATTGCCATTCGCATAATTTGCATAACTTTTTCTCTTTTTTTTATAATAAAAATTTAGATGAATTGAATTTAAAATTCAGAGTTTTGTCATCATAATATATTAATGGTTAAGTGTCACATTATATTATGTATGAATGAGTAAAATTTTAAATCTATACTATGTTTAATAACTTTGAATTTTAAGTAGAAATGTAATTTCTCATTCACTTGTATTCTTGGAACATTCTTTTATAATCTTAAAAACATTAGTATCACTGTTATTTTAAGCAGTATTATCAAATTAGTATTCTATAAGTTAATTCTATATGAAGTGTTTGGAGTCTTTACATGGAATTTTATAAAGGCTTGGTAAAGAAATCTATAAGTTGACCTTGAGACTTAATTGGAAGCAGTTTCAACAAGTCTTGTAATATATTTTTTCTCACAATTTGACAGTCAATTTCTAAGTGTTTTATGCATTCATGAAAAATTAGATTTGCATCAATGTGTATGGCACTTTGATTATTACAATAGAGCACACATGATTTATTGCATTTCACTCCTAAATCTTGCATCAAATAAAGAACTCATTGCAATTTAGAACTAGCAAAGGATAGTGCTCGATATTCAGGTTCAGAAGAACTTCTGGAAATTGTATGTTTCTTTTTAGATCTCCAAGAAATCAATGATGGACTAATGAAGAAACAATAGCCTGAAGTTGATTTTCTAGTGTCCAAGCACACTGGCCAATAGCATTTGAGAATCCAAGTAACTACATATTTGAATCTCTCTTGAATAATAATTGTCTACTAGGTGAGCCTTTGAGATATTTCACCACCTTGCATGTTGACCTGGAGTAATCAGAATGAAATGTCTTGACCTTCAATGTAGGGCAGCAATAATGGTTGTAAGAGAGGAAAGGGTTGTACCTACAAGGTACTCCAATGCCAAAGTAAGTATTTGGGCTATAAAGAGAAAGCAAGTATGAGTGTTTAGGTATGAGTAAGAATGATTAGAATACCTGACCCTCTTAAGAGAGGGTATTTATTAGTTTTTCCCTCAGCGTAGGGCCAAGGTCTCCCATGTAACTGAAATATCTGGTCGGTCAATGGGGGACTGCCAGGTGGAAGATCTAGTGCGTGATCTTTGACCTGGTCCAACTGTCTCCGTAACTTACGGAAGGGCAGTTGGTCGCTTGAACTGTCAAGCGCGTGAGGGGCACGTCCCCAACGACTATGTGCTCGAACGACTATATTGTGCCCTATGGTCGTATTGGGCCTAGCCTTAAGCTAGACTGGATTGGGTCTTGCCCAACTGTGGGACAGGTGCCAGTCCAGTCCAAAACAGGAGCCATCCAAGTCGTTTCTTCAAGGTGAGGAGCAATGACTTGAGTTAGCATAGCTTGTGCGACCATGGGGCAGGAATCGTATCATTGGGAGGTCTTTGAGGTCGCTATTAATTGAGCAAAAAAGTTCGAGGACGCACAAGCGCGTAACCTTTATATGGTCAATTAGTGGGTCGCGCGAGACTTCCTCGGAGATGAGAAGTGTGTTTTGTGTCGACCAGGTTTGCTCTTAGGATGCAGAAAAAGTCGATGAGGCTCTTGCTCAGACATTGATCTGGTGACGTAGTCGAGGAGAATGTGCCTGCAGGGAGCTAAAGAGTCTTTCTACAAACACGTGAGGGGTCATTTTACGGATGCCAAATGGCAGCCACTCTATGCCACATGTGACGGTGCAATAAAATTTTTTAAGGCCTAGGAGGCTAGAAGGTTAGGCAATGATGGCCTTTTCCCTTTGCGCTTCCCCATGCGAGCAAGGGAGCCTATATAAAGGGGGGTGAAATTTCATTTCATACCACAGATTTCTCTTCTCCTTATCTTTCACTCTACAACACTTTCGTCGCTGGAGATCTCGTTGCCGCCGCTACTGCCATGTCATCCCAAGATCTTCATATTCAACCTTCAAATGTTCAAGTATGTTCTTCGATTTTTATGAATTTCTGCAACTTATTCTTGAATTTACTGGTGGTTCATGAATTTTCCGGTTGAAGTTCATGCGTCTCTTGAAGAACACATGAACTTTTCTGGAAAATTCATAAAGGCTTGGTAGAGCTTAAGATTAGGGTGTTTTATGCTTGTAGATCTTCCTAGGTTGTTGTGTAGGATTGTTTTATGTTTGTCATCGGGCAGGGGTGTCCTCGTAGCTGAGGGCTTTGCTTTCGGATGCCCGACAAGTTAGGGTAGTCGCGGACTCTTCCCATTTAGGGTCTTTATAAATAGTGGGTACGTATCCTTGGCGCTGGTGACGCGTCTCGCTGAGACCTCTTGACGTTGATAAGGTCCTGAGTCGGGGAGATATCCTTGCACTTAATCCTTGCCCTTTCACTTGATTTGTGGTGGAATAGTGGATTTGATCTTTGTCGAATTCATTGTTGCTTCCTCTACTTCTCAGGTGAAATGGCTGGTCGAGATGAAGGAACCATTCCCAAAGTTGGGGTAAATATTAACGAAGATGTGCCTCCCGCTGAGTATGCTAATGAGCGGGTGGCTGAAGGGGATCTTAGTTGGATCGCCCAGGAGCTCGTCGTAACGAAGTCCACATTTACCGAGGAGGAGGCCAATAACTTCGATCTCCTTGAAGATAGAGCTGACGATGCACCTATAAATTAGAGGGTGATTAGTCTGACAGAGAACGAGTGAATATGCTCAGTGTATCTGGGGAGGAGATTTCCCATATATGAATTTTCTTTAAAGGAAGCGAGGTATCGTTTGCCCTTTACGGATTTCTAGGGGGCTATATTTTATCACCTCGAACTGTGTCCTGCCCAGCTTCATCTGAACGCTTTGGCGTTCATTCAAGCATTCAAATTGGTGTGTAGTTGCCTTCGGATAAGGTCTATCGTGGAACTCTTCTTTTGCATTTTCCAGCTGCAGAGGAGTGTTTTGGAATCGAAGCAAAGTTGGATGTCTTTCAAGCAGCAGAGCAGGCTGTTCTTGCCATATTTGGAGTCTGTCTGAAATTTCAAATTTAGGTTTCTGGTCGTAAAGCCTCTTTTCGAAACAGCCAAGAGCTCTTTGGTCACGATGGAGACACTAAAGGAGGATGGTCGGGAAGTGGTGCGTCCCGTGTCAAAGTTTCCCTTGGAATGGGTGTACGCTCATTTCCGGTATAGGACATACCAGTTCCTTGTGAAGCATGACCAACTTTTCTCCAAGCACAAGAAGTCTCTTCGAGCGCTGACAACGTTCGTTGAGAGCTTTACCCCTGCTTTTGTCGTGGATAAGGATGGCAATATATTCTGCTTTGAAGATGGGTAGCCTGCTCGGGCGGCTCGTTATATAAATACTAAAGCACTTCTTGATTGTCGGACTGAGGTTGAGGCTTTCGAGCTTTTAGGTATAGATGACGTGCTTAGTTTGTTTCTTGGTGTTTTAATGTCGTGCTTACCTCTTTGTTTCTTCTTTGTAGGAAAGATGCCAATTTACATGAACTCTTGGTCAAGTTCACCACAGTTAAAAACGTCAAAAAGGTTTCAACCTCGAGGGTGGATGCGGTCAGGCAGCAGGCGACCCTGAAGAAGTTCGTTGGTCCTTCGTCATCATCGGGAAGCACCTCTAACCCTCTGTCGCACCTCAAAAAATCACATAGAGATAATTCAAAAACACGACCATCACGCTAAAGGCGCGGAATACGGTTCGACAGAGTCGCCATCAAACTTTATTTATCCCAAAGAGATGGGAAAGGATAATATCGAGAAAACCTTTTAAAAGATGGATAAGAACGCATTCGTCACAACCACGTAATGGGTTCGGGAGTTCGTTATACTTAACGAGAACCTCTTAATATGAATTGTGAAGAACATTAGCTAAGCTTGTTTGTTTTCTTCTCAATGGTAAATGCTAAACGGTACGATAAAAGGATAACGATGCTAAGGGAAATGGGTGTTTATTAGATAGGGTGCTCGACAATGATTAGGGCCCTTGTGCCTACGCATGCTCATTCGGACGAGAATGAGAAATCAGAGCTCTCGTAGTTCAACTACGGGAAAAATTAGAGGGGAAACAAAAGATGGAGGGAAGGTAGCTCACCAAGATCATTGCAATCTTGGGCCTACGTATCTTACATTCAAGAATGAATGAAGAATCAGAGCATCCGTAGTTCGTGGAGACGACCACGAAAAGAGATGAGTTGAATTGGTTTAAGTTTGGTTGATGACGATTACTCGAATATTAAGAAAGGCTCCTCGGGCCCAAGTAATCAGGAGAGTGAGGCAAAGACTTAACTCTCTCTCTTTTTCATCTTAAAAAGAGGTTGTGTTTGAATGGTATTTTTGAATGATGAGTGATTGGAAGATGGTTTGAATGTTTTCAAGATGGAAATGTTTTAGAGGCGTTAATTTCTCACACACAAGTAAGATAAATCGTATCCAAACAACTGAAGAGAGATCAAAGGCTCAATCCCCCTCTTTTTCACCTTGAAAGAGTTTCGATAGTTGTTAATTGTTTTGATAGTTTGATTGAGAAAAAGCCACCTGACGTTGGAGCAAGGGTTCGATTGTATTTGCGTGTAAAACCGTGGTGGAAAGGAGATTGGTTTGAAAATGGCTCGACAAAGAGTCGAGGGTTTGGTTGAAAATGAAACCGACTCGACGACGTATCGAGGGTTAGGTTGTGAGAAATGATACTAGTCCCTGAGGGTCCT